TTCTTCATCTGTCTTTTGGGGAGAAACCCAGACTGATCTTGATGGATCAAGTGGGTTAAAATTCTTTTCATTCTAGTTGCTAAAATAGTGGCATAGATTTTATAGTCTACATTCAGTAGTGAAATTGGCCTATAATTTTGTATTTCTTTGCCTTCCATGTTTTCCTTATGTATAAGAGAAATTGTTGCCTCGGCCCATGTTGCTGGTATTTCTCCTTCTTCCTCAACGCATTCTATCAACTTCTTAAACGGCTGAAGTAGCACCTCTTCCAGTTCTTTATAATATTCTGCTGGTAGGCCATCCGGACCTGGTGCTTTTTTTGTTTTTTAAGGGCTTCCATAATTTCAGCATACGTTATGGGCTCATTTAAGGCCTGGATTTGTTTTTTGCTCAATTTCATATCGTTGTGTTTCAATATATATTCTTCCTGGGCTTCTCTGTCTACTTCTTTTTTTTCATATAATTTCCGGTAGAAATCCTCAGCAATTTTTTTATTTCTTCCTGTTAAAATCTATCTATTCCCTTTTCATCCTTCAAAACATATACAACACCAAATAAATATATTGCTCACTGAAGAGACCACAAAGAAGCTCAAATTTGCAAAGCAAAAATTTTTTGAGAACGCAAACAAACCAGGAAGATGGTTAGCATACAAATTAAGGAAAGAGAAGGAGAAGACAATAATCCAAACTGGGACTTCGAATCCTCACAGTATCTTCCAGGAGAATGGTCAGGCAAGCTCACTCAGATCATGTATGCCTGGTGGATTATGAGCCCTGTCACTTGTGTTGCTTTGGGCAAGCTGCCTAGTCCAGAATGCCACCAGGAGGAAGGACTGGTAGCACTTCTGATTAAATCCAGTGCATGTGGGTCCATAATGGAAACAACTTGATGGCACATAATTACAATTATTAAGTTTCTGGATAAGCTATGTTGATGGATATCTTTTAAACTGTTACTTCCCACCATCACCACCATCTAAGTCTTCAGTTGTTTGGAACATTGTCCCCCAAATCAGATGAGCCTTCAATACATTTATATTTTACACTTTTTCCATATCTCTTGCAAAACTAAAGGCAGTGAATAAAACACAAAGTTAGGAATAATCATTATTCTTGTTTCCTCCCTTCCACAAGTCAAACACTGTCTCCAGAATAAATTGTTCTAATGCAGTAGTGGGGAGCCTCTGGCCCTCCAGGTGTGGTTGGATTGTTCCTTTTGTCATCCGTAACCATTGGTCACGGTGGCAGAGCTTCTCTTGTTGCTGCCATAGACAACGGAAGTTGGAGTCCAACCACATCTGGAAGATCAGCTTCCTCCCTCTCAGTAGCAATGATGGTACATGAACAAAGTGCCAGATTTCCCTTCCCCTCTTTTAGCTGTCAAGAACAATTAGCTAATGAGTCACTGTCTATGAAACAAGGATGCGGAAAACTATTTTATGCTGACCAAAACCTATTATGGATTTTGTTTTTTTAACTGAAGCCACTGTTGAATATGAAGGATATATTTAGGCATGAGAACATACAAACTGTGTTGGATCAGATCCTGTTTCAGTTTTCAGAGGGTAGACACATTAATTTGTTTCAGCAACAATGAAGCACGTGTGCGAGCGCACACACACACACAAAGCAAAATGTTGTGACACCTTTACGAAATTGCTGTCAAAGCTATTGTGGATTACAGTCCATTTCTTTAAATATTTCACATATTCCTCACAGTGACAATCTGGTTGTCAGTGTCCACAGTGCTTGAAGTCCACAAGCATTTCATCTGCCTATAATGTTTCTGTTATTCAGGTGAGGTTTTCTAAAGGCGCTTTGCATACAGATCGGAATGGGGTAGCAGTTTCCCTGTCTCTGCTGGATGCTTCATTAAGTTAGTATGTTGCCTAGACGACACTTCAGGGCCAGTTGTCTGTCTACAGCATGAAGCAGTCTGAACTGAAGATGCAGCACAGTGCACAAACTGTTAACAAACAGGGGACTGTTAGTATCGTGGTCTAGACAAACAAACCCCAGGTCAACAGATATACCGCTGTCAAAGCTCCCTTTGTGTCATGTCCTCAACAGATGACTCTCTCATGATGATGAACCTGAGGAACTCCAAAGCCTGATGTGATAGAGGACCTAATTGACCCTAGGGATCCTGGACCCTCAGGAACCCAGGAGCCCAAACCCACAGATCCTGGACCTTCAAAGACTCAGGAGCCTGAGCCCATGGATAATGGAAGCTCAGGAGCTGAGCCTGAGGAAGAGGTGAGACAATCTTCCAGCCCCCAGGAGCAAATAAATCTGAAAGCATGAGTCCAGTTTGAAGTCCCAAAGTGGAGTGCTTGGCTGCACAGGAGGTCTCCTTGTGAGTGGGCTTTTTCTCTCAGGGAAACTGAAGGGCCAAACCCTGCAGCTTGGTTCTTCCCTTGCAATCCAAACACCTGCAGTTGTGTGCTAGGCAGGGCTCCAGCAGCACAGCCGCAAATTGTCCTTCAATTGGCTCTGCTACTGTAGCTGCTTGGATCTGTCTTGTTTCTGTGTGCCTTGACCCCCTGCTCCGGATTGTTTGGATTTTTGTCCATTTTGACTGCTTCTCTGACTATGACTTCAAATTGGCCTGCCGTAGCGTGCATGGCCATCATCATTTGCACCGCGTCAGTTGCAGAAGTAGCCCAGCCAACATTTCCCAGCCTCTCTGCAGGCTCAGCTCAGGGGAGACTTTTCATCTTGCCGCCTCACGAGAGTGGTCAGGGAGGCGGGGGAATGCTGGCAGGGCTACTTCTGCAATTGGTGTGATGCAAATGATGGCCATCACAACGTGCCACAA